TTTACTGTGTGGTAGGATGCCTGTTTGTTCATTTTAAATGCTGCCCTCGGGATTGCGATTGAAATAGTTCTTTCATTCTCAGGGGTGGTAGATTGGGCCGATGTCAATGTGTCTGTTTATTGACTTATTGGTGGAGAACCAGGCTTTGAGGAATTTGCTTTCTCTCGATTTTGCTTGGGTTACACCTGTGGTTCCAGTTAGATCAAGCTTGTGTACTTCTGAGTTTTCATGGACAGACACAAGAGATAGCGGGTCGTGTCTTTTGATAGCTTTCTTCCTGCTTGGCACACTGAAGATGTCCCCCAGAACAAAACGTTTGCAGCCAAACTTATGATGGCTACTCAGTATCTGTTTTTTAGGTATATATCCACATGAGTGGAAGTAATGGAGCAATTGCTGGAAATGAGAGAAGTTCTCTACATTGCTTTGTTCTCTTGGTGAATAGTTATTGAGTATAAAAGAATTACAGTAGCATTTAATGGACATTTAGCCTATGTCTTTTGTTAGTAAATTTTTTAAAACCTAATGTTCATGGTTGTTCCTCATGTTGAATGATAGTTCTTTGGATACACAAGAGGAAAACTGTTGCTCAGCTGAATAGGCTAGAAAATTTTGGCACAATGAAAATCAATAACTCACAGGATATAATACTATATATACACTTTGTGCAAAAAAACTTAGGCTAGATATATTTTATAGAATATGAAAGCAGTCTATGGTCTATATATGGTCCTTGCCATCCTTCTTTTCAGTTTGTAGAGACCATTGAGATTGTAATGCCGGAATGTGGTGACAAATCATCATAAGAAGATATCTCCATTTTTCCAGCCAGAATCAAGAAAAATGGCAAACAAGCAAACCCACAAACCTCCAAAATCAAATTAAAAATTGACCCCATTCAGTAGAATGACAGTGATAATGTCCTTCTTAGTGAAAAAAATTACCTGTGCTGTTCTATAACCTGAAAAATGGAAATCTATACATTATACATACATTATACATACATACATACATACATAATTTGCATAGTATCTAGGTTTTATATATATAATCTATTTCCATAGAATATATGGTGAACTCACAAGCAATAACTCATTTTCCCAGAAGGTAGTGCTGAGATTTCATAACACCAAGAATGCAATAAAGGATTTACTATATTTTACACATCTCTTTGAAAATTAAATATTTTCCAGTATTAGAATTTTTGAATACTATTAAGTTTACTAATAAAGTGACCATCTATCACTTTTGCTGTAGAAGTGGTAAACATCTTAATAAGTAGCACTTTATCCTCTTAATTTGACACAACATGGCAAGTGATAGCAAATGTGTCAGATTTGGTCTTATGAGGGGGGAAAAAGGTTTTGTGCCTCTGTATAGACACACTAGACCAAGTGATGTATTTATCAGGTTATACTGGGTGGAAACTATAGTGCAGCCCAGATGCCTGGCAGCAGGCTGGCAAAGGCTGATGTCGACTAAGGCCAAAATTGTCAATGCAATTAACCCAAAACATTGGATGTTTTAACAAGAGCCATTTTAGAGAAAGCAAGATGTAAATTATATTACAAAATGTGTACAGTAATTTGAATCATTTGACATCAGCAGTATTTTTATGGTATTAGTGACCTCATCACAAACAGGGTCTACCCGCTTCCTTTATAATTCAACTTCCAGCTGGTTTCCTCCTCTCAGCATGTACTTTTGCATCATCTGCAAAACAAGAAGAAAACAAGGACATCTTTTCATCTAAAAATTCTTGCTTCAAATTCTTAAGATTTTTTTATTCCAAACTTCCTCTGAATTGCTGATCTTCAGCTTCCTTTAACTTCAAGGTTGTATTTTCTTTTGGAGTGACTGGAAATTTGACCACAGAGCTGCAAATTTGGGAATGTAATGTATTATGAGATCAATTGTGGAGACCCTGCCCTCTGCTTGAGTTCATGTTCATAGAAGGAATAGCCAACTATAAAGCAACTAAAATCAAGATCAAGAGAAAAGTTGAAAGGCTTTGTTTGGTTAAAGAATAGCCATCTCCCTATTTTTCAAGTGGTCTCCTGCACTGCAGTCTCTAGACTCCAAAAGAAATCTGACAATATGCTAATCTGATAATAAAAGTGACTTCTGATCTGTTATCTGTTCAGCTGACAGTGAAGTACAGAGACGGTTGTCTAGCCAGACAAAATGATAGAGAAAATATGCTTTCAAACAAGGGCATAAATCTCAGATGGCACAGATGAACTATTAAAATGGAATAGTTATAGTACCAATACTATGCACTAGCCTCATTTTACCTCTGTTCCTCCATCTTTTCCTTTCACAGATGCATGAACGAGGATGTACCCTGTCAAGCTAATAACATAGAGTTAAGAGGGTGGCAATATCTCTTCTACCTAGATCAGAGTTTCCATCACATAGGGAGGGGGCAGGAAAAAAAAAGGGCTAGTATGAATCTAGGAGCATATTGTACAGGCACCAAAGTTTGCCTATTGCACTTGGTGCCTGAAGATCATAAATCTATGCATGAGAAAGATGTAGTGGAAATTTTTGGGGGGGATTAGAGTTTATTTTTGTCATCTCTGTGAGACAGCTACTCATTCATCCAGATCACAGCTAAGAAAAAAAGCTGGTCACAGAAATTAGCAGTTTCAGCTCAGCAGCAAAGTCGCCAGCCTGTGAAGGCAGAGAGAAATTGACTAATTAGCAATGCGCACTAAAACTTGACGGTTCTTTATAGAGAGAGAGAGAGACGAGAGAGGCAGAGGAAGGGAGGGGGGGGTCGCTTTCTCCCCTTCTTTCTTCCAAAGATGTTTGAAATCGCAGTCATTTACGCTCGACAATTTTTACAATAGCCTTGAGCCATAATTTTGCGAGTCTCTCCAGCATCCATCCCCCTGTATGGTCTCTCTCCACTGGCCATGCACGACCGTTTCTCTCCCCAACCGTGGATTTCCTATTACTCTCGTTACGACTCACTGAGCCCCAGGCCCAAGGATAATGATGTGTTGTTTCTTGGTAGCATAATTTGTCACACGTACATTTTTTCTTCTTCTTCTCTTGCAGAAAGCTCTGCGCGCTCTCTCTTTCTCTCTCCCCTTCTCCCTCTCGTACATTTTCTTGCTGTTGCTAATTCATGGTGATCAAATGATGTACGACAAAATAAATTGTAAAGAGTGACTGCTTGGAATTGGGAACAAGAAGGTTTTTGTTTTTGTTTTGAAGGAGCAATCAAACCTTTAAAAAGGAAGGACAATTGATTTTTTTGGGGGGGGAGCTTAAGTGAACCTTTACTTTGGCAGCTGGTTGTGAAGCAGGTAAGTTTCTGGCCTTCGGTCTAACCGCCTTGGCTGTATTTTCTTGTGGCTTGTTTATTGTCGTGAAGACGATGTATGCGTGTGTATGCGCGCGATTTCTGTGGACGAGAAGTACGGAGGGGGGGCACTTGTATTGCACACACGTCTTTGGAGAATAAACTCGAATTGTAAGAAATGGCCAGAGGAGGGGAAAAAAAGGGGGAGGGAGAATGGGAGGTGTGTAGATGTGGATGGAGGAGAGGAATGACCAGATCCACTTAAAGGGAGAGGCTCTTGGAGGTTTCTTAAAACCTGACTGCTGGGAGGGAAGGAAAGCGGCCGGGGAAGGGGACTCCCCCGGTCGCAGGAGAAAGCGCGGAGCGCAAGCACTGCCGAAAAAAAGGGGGGACGGTACAATGGAAGTAGCAGTCCTCGCTGGAATCCTGCAGAGGAGAGGCGGCGGCGGCGGCGGCACTTGCTGTGCTGTGGGGGACTCCGCTCTCTCCGAGGCGGGCTAAAGCCACCGCGGGTCCCTTTCCCCCTCGCCACTAGCAGGTGCAACTGGCAGCAGGTCTTTTTAAGGCTCGTCTTTTTCATTCCCCGCCGCCTCCGCCCTCAAGAGTCCCGCGACTTTGGCAGGGGCGCTCTGGCTTCCGCTTTCTCGCGGCGCAGGGACACTTTCCCGCCTGTATTTTCCTCCTCCTTTTTTTCCCAGTAGCTCCCAGGCCCTCCGAGCTCGTTCCTTTCCCCCCCCCCACCCGAACTTCCCAGAGTTGCCCGAGTTAAAGCCCCGCCGCTCCTCACCCCCGAGGAAACCCAGCCCGTACAAAATGAGCCCCGGAGGCAGAGGCGACTGGCCTGCCCCCTCGCCCCTCGCCCCTCGCCCCGTGTAACGCAGCACGCGCGCGAGAAGGTCTGGCCAAGAGTTCGGTGCACGCGGCTGTGCGCTCCCCCTCGCTCGGCACCGAAGAACCTTCCCCCTCCCTCGTTTCACGTACTGCTTCGAGGCGAAGCGTCTCCCGCTCTGCAGAAACAGTGGCTTGCAAAGGCGGGAAAGGCGCAGTTTGGGGGGGAAGGGGAGGGGCATCCGAAGGGGGCAGCTCAGTCAGCTTGGCTCAAGCGATGGCCCGGCTCTGGACTTTGGAAGGACGGGGTGGCTTCTTTTCCCTTTCCTTTCCTTTCCTTTCCGTTGGGTCATTGGGTAACCGTTCTGCGAGCTTTCACAGCTTACGGAACAACCACCCCAAACTCTTTTCAATCTCTCTCTCTCTCTCCCTCCCCGCCCACCTTCCGCCTTTCCCCCCTGCATGGGAAATGCCCCGTTGCAAATTAGACAGCAGCCTGCTCGCAAGTGGCGCGCGCGTCTCGGTTTCTAGGCGGAAAGAAAGTAGTTGCCCGCAACCCCCACCCACTTTGGGGAGGGAACCCGTCTCGCCTGCCGATGAAGGACGAAGCCCCTTGGCGGGGGGTGCAGAACATGTCATGCAGCCCGAAGGCTGCCGCGATGGGGGGAAGGGGACGGCTGGATAGGGAGCCTCTCGGCTTTTGCCAGTCGGGTGGGCAAGCCAGGCCTGTAAAGCTCCATGTTGATTACTCTGTGCGCCCCCTCCCAGCCACTCATTTCTCCTTATTCCCCCACCCCCGCCTTGCCCCTCTTTGCCCAGGTCGGAGGTGGGTTTCCAGTCAGGTGCGCTGAGGCTGCTCGCCATGTCACGGTCCGGGGACAGGACGTCTACCTTCGACCCCAGCCATAGCGACAACCTGCTTCACGGCCTCAACCTGCTGTGGAGGAAGCAGCTCTTTTGCGACGTGACCCTGACGGCCCAAGGCCAACAGTTCCACTGCCACAAGGCCGTGCTGGCCTCCTGCTCCCAGTACTTCCGATCGCTCTTCTCCAGCACCGCCGGCGGAGGAGGTGGGGGAGGCGGCGGCGGCGGGGGGAGCGGGCTTAATCACCCCTTGGGCGTTGGACCGGGAGTTCAGGACGGCCTGCTTCCGAAGGAGCAGCAGCAGCAGGAGGAGCCCGGTACGCCCTCCTCCTCACCGGAGGACAAGCTGTTGGCCAGCCCTAGGGCCATCAACAACCTGGTGTTGCAAGGCTGCTCGTCGATCGGACTGCGGCTGGTGCTCGAGTACCTGTACACAGCCAACGTGACCCTCTCCCTGGATACGGTGGAGGAGGTGTTGTCGGTCAGCAAGATCCTGCACATCCCGCAGGTCACCAAGCTGTGCGTTCAGTTCCTCAACGACCAGATCTCCGTGCAGAACTACAAGCAAGTGTGCAAGATCGCAGCCTTGCACGGCCTCGAAGAGACCAAGAAACTGGCCAACAAGTACCTCGTGGAGGACGTGCTGCTGCTCAACTTCGAGGAGATGCGCGCCCTGCTCGACTCCTTGCCTCCCCCGGTAGAATCGGAGCTGGCGCTCTTCCAGATGTCCGTTCTGTGGCTGGAGCACGATCGGGAGACCCGCATGCAGTACGCCCCGGACCTCATGAAGCGCCTACGCTTTGCCCTGATCCCGGCTCCGGAGCTTGTCGAGCGGGTCCAGTCGGTGGATTTCATGCGTACGGACCCAGTCTGCCAGAAGCTACTTCTGGACGCCATGAACTACCACCTGATGCCTTTCAGGCAGCACTGCAGACAAAGTCTGGCCAGCAGGTAAAAAAAGAAAGGGGGAGGCGGCGGAATTCAGCAGAAACCTGGTATTTCACAGGGCATTAACTAAGTATATACGAAACGTAAAGTTCAAAAGTTGACTTCAGCTGTAAGCATTTAAGGGAGTGCCTGAGAGGGACTTGCTGAGTAGAGTTAAGGGCGGGGTGTATGTACCTCCCCATAGGTATTGTAGGAAAATAGGAAAACAGCCGAAAATACATTCTGGCAACAATAACAGATATATAATAACTTAAGTAGCAAAAAGGAACAACGGGGCAATTGTTAGTTCATTGCCTTTGAAAATTGTAAGTTGTTATTTGGTGAGTTTGATGATTGAAAGTTTTCAGGATTGGGTCAGAATCTACTATTTTTGACAATAGGCTTATCCTTAATGCAACACTTTCAGAAAGAAGTTTCTGAAGAACAACCAAAAGGATTACCAATGCATTCCTATCTCCCTTTTTCTGGAAGAGATGCTGTTTGGGTATTGGAAAAAAGCAAGTTATGGAGTCCTCCTTTTAATTATAGGGCTTATTAATTTGGAAGAACAGGAGAATGAACCATTGGAGAAGATGTATAAGAAGAACATCCTTTTGAGAGCAAAGAGAGTAGAGGGGGGAACACCCCTAAATAACATATTGTAGTGTTCTTCAGACTCTATGTTGTTAGATGGAGTTAAAATGCCTTGTCCATCCAGCTAGTTTTAGAGGAGCTGTGCACAATACAGCAAGTAAGATTGGTGATAGGGGAAAGTGAAATGTGCTGGATAATTCAGTAGACATCTCTTAAAATACAATATGGGAAGAAAATTAGATGGGCAAGCAGCCATGCCTTGGTACCATTAGTTTTAAATCCCATTATGAGCTCCTTGGGTTCTCTGGGCCTTTTCTACTTAGAATGAGTGTTTTGCTAGTTCGTTTTCTGTGACCACAAAAATAACATATGTAAATATTATGTTTAGTTACCAGAACACGGAATTAATTATGGCCTCCTACCTTTTTTCCAGTTTAACATTTTGCAATTACAATTTTAAAAAGCAATTTAGAAATGGAGTAGGTTTTAATGCTATGGTCTGAGTTTATATCTTACAATCAAATTATGTATATACTAATACTAGAGAAAATGAAATAATCCCTGTTGTGTTGGAAAAATTGAAGTATGTCTATGACATCACAAGAATTTCCCTTTAAGTGAGTAAAGCTGTGAATATAATATCAGTGGAAAGTGTCTCATACAAAATTTTAAACAGACAATTTAGGACATAAATTTACAACATAAACAGAACATATAAATAATGTTTCATACTAAGTAAACAAACTGAAAGTTTGCATATATCTTAAAACTTTTACATTTTTCTATACTGAGCAATACTTTCTGACATAATATGTCAGGAAATAAATCAGATTTGTAGTGTTTTGAAGTGTATTTTGTTGCTTTGCATAGAAGAACTTATACAAAGTTTCAGTAAGTGATACCTGAAGAATTATTCATGTTCCTTTCTTGAGGGATTTTTTAAAATACCCAACTGTATTATGAACTATTAAGTATCTTGGGGGCTCATTAGGTTATCTCTGGGATAAAATAGCTTCCCCATATGGTGGCAAATTGTGGTGCTTTCCTTAGCTTGAATTCTGTGCACCACCTGTGACATGATGGGTCTTTCCTTGAGGTGGATTACCGAGATACCAGATTGTTTGGTTCAGTGCAAATACCTTCCAGCTTCATTGGTCCATATCATTTGAAGGATGTGACTTCTGAATGTTTACAAGTATCAAAAATAGTGATACTGGCCTTACTTTGCTGTCATCTTACTTCATCCTGGATGGAATCTACTATCCATTTTTCTGGACAGTAGCCCCATTAAATTCAATGAGATTTGTTTTCAAGAAAACACGCATATAAAAAGCATTGCATTACTTTTTATATCAATAAATATATTCAGAATTGGATATAGAATAACTTTGGACATATTTAGAATATTAAAACAAAGGAATTGCTGTCATATAAAAAAAACATGTTATTCTGACTAACTCTGATATTCTGATCTTATCTTAATGGTAATATTACTCAGCTTTATCACTTTGATTGTTAATAGGCCTAACCATGCCACTGTGCTGAATTATCACACATACATAAAAAGAATAAAGAACAGATGAAGTATCATAAGACACAGGAAAAAAGTACATATACACTATAAAGAAGGGGGTGTGTATATATATTTAATTTATGCCATATGATTTTGTGACAGCTGTGACTGACCTCTTAACACTCAAGAGTCTTAATGATACACAATGAAAAACTGGGGCATAAATGTTTAAAAATAAAAAGCTCTTAAAATTTAGCATTAAATAGAAGAAATATTTTAGAAAATATGCAAATATTAGAGATAAGATTTTAATTTGTGTAAAAAAGTTATGAAAGTATAGTGAATTAAATTAAATGAACACAGTGAATGATTTTTAGACACCTTTATTGATTTCTGGAGGAAATAATAACATTGTAAATTAACATGACAAAAAATGCAAGCATTGGGAAGTAATACACAAATCTGATTCTTTTCCACCTTCGGATAGTTTTGGGTACTGAGAGATGAACAGTGAAATGCCATAAATAACTTCTTGCTGTTCAAGAGTAAAGAAACAGAATTAATGCATCCACTCTTAAATTAACATTTAATACAAACTCGTATTTGTATTTAATAGGGCTGTCTCAGGCCTTCAACATATTTGGTAACCATATTCCTTATTTGCTTAAAATAACACCTTTGTTTCTAAAACACTACTTGTGTAGTGCATAGTACATAGTTGCTTTGGAATTTGTAGTAATTGGCTATTTTAAACTGTTATATAAGAAAGCAAAAATAAATAGCAAAAATGTGAAAACACTTATAGTACAAAACTGATATTTTTGATAATAACTATGTTAAAGTGACATTTAATTTGAAGAAATGAGGCCATTATTAAAATTTCTTTCATTTTAAATATTAAGATTAGCGTTTATTAAGATTAGAGTTTCAGACTTAGAATAAAACAGCTTCTTTGACAGCACATTAATATGTATGCACATTGTACAACTTGTTTAACAGCAAAACAAAAACGAAACCTCTACTAGCATTTTTGAAAACATTTTTAATAAGGTGAAATTGAAAAAATCTTGCTGAAATTAATAGGAATTCATTCTAAAAATACCTAAGAAAATTGCAGCTATGTAAAGTGTTAGGTGTTCTGTATTCAGTCAGTAAAGAGTTAACTTTTAATTATATGTACATTTCATTCTCATTATTTAAAACTTTAAAATGAGATTTTTTTTAAAAAAAATGATGTTTTTATTTGTATGCTTACATTCAAATGCTGTAATTATAGTTGTATGCAGGGTGGACTAGTTCCAACAATAGAAAGCTGGAACGTGTCTTTGCCCTTCACTGTCTGTATCCAAACTCTAAGACCATCTTGGAAAATACTGCTCTGGATGTTTTCTGTTGAAGATCTTGAGCTTTCCATTACTCTCCCCAGGGTGGCATGTCTAGTGCCTATAACCTTTTTGACTTAAAGCAAAAACTTTTTGTGTTCCTGTTAATTCTAGTGTATTCATGTTTTGTATTTAATTTTGCCTTTCATTTTTTAAGGTAATATTATCACTAGTTTAGTTTGCCCTCTAACTGATCGTTTAAATGCTACTGTTTTAAGGCTTATAAATGTATTTTGTAAAGCTATTTTTGTTTTTGTTCGGAGTCATTTTATGCTATTTTCAATATGACTTTTTACATTGGTTTTAAATTATTTACAATATACTATTTTAGGAACATTTCTAATCACAAACTGGAGAATGAATTCAGTTGAAATTAGTATGGTACAAATAGAACCTATCTACAAGATGAGTACTGTGGTGCATGTCTGATTTACCCTTTGTTCCTGATTCAGTAAGTGCTAACAGCCTTGCTTCTGCACACTGATCTTGCTGGTTGAATTGAAAATCTGATTTTATGGTTGCAATTTCGGAAATGGCAGTTTTATAAGTTTTCCTTTAGCCAGAAAGAACTTGTTTAAGAAAAGGGGTTCTGAAGAAATAGCTTGCTACGTTAGAACTATGTGAAGGATTGCTTAAGTTGTGTTTTGTTGAATGCCCACCCTGTCCCTTAAAAAAAGATTTCTTTAGGAGAAATTGGTCTAGGAACTAAAGAGGGCAGACAAATGATGTCACAGTATGATTGACATCATTATGACTTCTGCTGAATACCTATGCTCAGAAAATACGTAAAAGTATAACTACATTTTTATCCCTTTAATGAGAGTAGGAAACCAGTCAATCCATGCAGCTTTAGGCTGTTTTCATTTACTGACACAATAAACATAGCACGCTTGTGCAGAGTGGGCTTTAAAGCAAATTTTTTCATGGCCAGCTTATTGCAAGCAACATACCCTCATTTGCAAAGCATTAAGTTAAGCTCACTATGTAAATAGAATACTCTTGGCATTTTTAGATCTTTAGAACCTCAATAGCATCTCTTCTTACTGAATATGCAGTAGTCTGTATTAAATATGTAGTGTTCTGCCAAGAAACATTGATTTGAAGGCATGTTTTCTATGAAGAAATTCTAAGACAAATATCTGCCTTTTGAGAATGTGTTATGACTTTGCCCAAAGAGATTATGCACTATATTTTTTTCTTAGAAACTTCTTATTTGGGGTCTTTATCTGCCAAGTTATCATAGTCATTGTGACCTCAGTCCTGCTTCAGTAACAATCTTCTTAATCCATTTTCATTGCATTATACACTTGCTGCCAGCCAATCTGGGGTATGAGAACATCATCTGCACTTAATATAATCTCAATGATTAATTTTAGCCATGTCCTATTATTTCTCTAGCATACAGTTATGGATATTGTTATATTTATCACTAGTTAAAGAATATATTTATCCATTTATTTACTAAATTTATCTGTCACACACATGTATCCTTATTCCAGAAGGATTGACATTATGTGTGAAATAATTCTATTTTA